TTGCAATTTCAATATTCATTTTTTAAAAAAGGGTAAAGATTGGATGAGTCTTGTGTGTTCAACATCAATTGAAAGATAGATAAGCAAAATGAGCATTTTTCAGCATATTATGCTGTTTTATTTTAAACTTGACAAAAATTATTGGAGCTAGGCTAAGAGATCTTACCACATCCTTCATATTCAGATATTTCCCCCTCTGATTACCACTTGTTCTGATTGCTTCAGAATTCCTTAAATAGACAGCACTTTGTTTCCAAGGAAGGCATCATACATCACTTGAAATAATTTTTTGCTATGAAAGTTTGAACATGAATTATGGAGTTGCCTAAAAGATTGCAAAAGATATACATTATTGAATAAAGTTATTGCTTTCTCTGAAAAAATTGTTTTTCATTTACACAGAAAACCACATTGACTTATTGGCCAACCTATATTGGATAAACTTCAAAGTTTACTATCTTAAGATAATTACTAAAAATCATTTACAAAAGAAAAATTAATCATTGCTGCATGAAGTTCCTCTGATTATCCTGAGACAAGTGTTTTTTTCCAGTTTTATCAAATATTATAGTAGAGGAAAAGGTGGTATTATGGAACCATCTCATTTCAAACTGATAATAAAGGCAAACTGTAGCGGATTGTGACTGAACTGAACTAGGCAGACATCCATAGCAAGGGGAAAACCCATTTCACTTCAGTTAAATGGTTGTCCATATTTAATCAGCAAATTTATTTTTTTCAAAATTTGCAAGTTTTGAATGCTAAGTGAATTTAATTATTTTTAAAATATAAAGCATATAGTTGTAGGTTCACTGGTGCATGTATTCCATTCCAGAGACTTAGGGGTACATATTAATCTGTGTGATGTTCACGTTTTTTAAATTTTGGCTTGACAGACATAAGTTAATTCAAGATGGCAATGTGTGAAATACAGATCCCATTGGTGCTTTTACAGTAATATGGAACTCAACTCCTCCGAACTCTCTCTTTGCAAGCAGACATTCATCTGGAGTAATTTGTGAAAAAGACACTAGATAGAAAGTCAATTCTTTCTGAGAATATCGAAAAAGAGTTGCTGGAATATATATTGTTGATGGAGGTCATATTTTTCTATTATAAAAGCATTTTTGCGATAAAATACATTGGAGTAAATAATTTTGTAATTATTTAACATTTTTTGTCCTTTCCTATTTGTTTTTGGCTACATTAAAGCATTTTTTTGAAAATATACAGTAAGGTTCCATATTACCACCCGATTTTCTCTAAGCCTACTTTCGGACTTTTTGTACAAAAGCCTTCAAAAACCATACTTATAATTACACTAGCGAAAAATCCAATTAGGAACATTTAGTTTACTAGTTACCAGTACTTTTCGCACAAAAAATGTGGGTGTAGTTATGATACCTTGTTTACAATTCACTAAAATGTAATTGGGGTTCCATAATACCACCTTCTCCTCTATATCTATGCTAGCATTTTAGTCAGATGTTATCTTTGTCTTATCTAAATCTTTTTTGTACTTACCATCCTTGTTTTCAACATTATTTTTTTCTAAATTTTTGTGTATTTCATCAGTTTTGTTGCCAGTTTATTACAGAAGAAAAGCAAAAAATGTAATACATATGAAGGATGAAAAATCTGGTAAATGTTTGTTGTAAGGTGAGATAACGTTATTTTTGTAATGAATGATAAGAATAAAAACATGCATGAAGTAGGGTCTCATATATGCATTTTGTCTTAATTTCTTTGAGAAGTTTTGATCTAAGCAATCTTAACTGCTGGCATCTTTTGTTTGGATATATTCCATTCACTTTAAAACTTTAGCTGTTAATATAGTACTTTGTTATTGTCTCTAAGATCTTGTTAAAATTTTATTTTGAATCTTTCTAAATTTTAGTCATTAGGAACAAAGAAATAGATAATAGAAATATCTAAAGAAGTACTTCTAAAATCTAAAATATTGGAATTTGATATAATAGTCTATTAAATAAGAAGTGAGCCATATATAAATAGTTCAAATGATATCAAAACAAAATCTTTTTTTTCCACTATATTAAATTGAGATTGAAGATCCTTATGACATGATCATATTAAAATTTAGCAAACAAAGTTTTATAATTTTTTTCTGGATATTGTTATCTAAAAAATATGCCTAAGAATAAATATTCATTTTTTTAAATTATCTTTAAATAATATGATGTGTAGATAAGAAATATCAATATTTCTAGTTTAGAATATGGAACTAAATAAAGAAAAATTAATCATTTCATTGAGTAATTGTAGTTATTTGTTATTAGATGAAAATAATAATATTAATAATAAATATATAATAATAATAATAAATAAGCATTTAATAATATAATCATGACACATTTTGTCCTGATTATATTATTAAATGCTTGGTTCATTCAAAAAAGAAACCAGAATTATTTTGTTAAAAATAATGCATTTNTATAATCGTGACACATTTTGTCCTGATTATATTATTAAATGCTTGGTTCATTCAAAAAAGAAACCAGAATTATTTTGTTAAAAATAATGCATTTGCACTGGGAAAACAGAATTAGGAAAATATGTAGGAGCATTGACTATTAATATTTTATTGATAGATACATTAACAGACTGTTACTGCACTGCAGTGCAGGGAAGCTACTCCAGAAAATGGCATCTACCAGTGCAAACCCATTCAAGGAAGGATAGCATTCAGTTATTGAATTTCTAATGTTAGAGAAAGTTAAGCCCAGTGAAATTCAACATTGATTGGTACTTGTTTATGACAAGAATGCATTGTAAAAATGCAAATGAGCCAAGAAGTTTCATGCAAGGCATCAATCACGTCACATCTTACATAGTGGTAGACTGAAATCAACCATCACCAACACTAACATTGTATCTTGATCCAGAGTAATTGGTAATTCACGATTGATGAAGCTGCTGACTGCAAATTAGCCATAGCTCAGCATATTCAATAATGCATGTGCTTAACTATAGAAATTGGACAATGATGTACAAGAGAGAGGAGTCATGGAATGGGTTCAGAATCAGTCAAGCTATTGTTATGAGAAGAAAATAAAAAAACTCTTGTGAAGCAGTGAGATACTTGACTTAACTATAGGGGGAATATGTTGAAAAATAGACATTATGCTTAAAAAAGTAATAATAATTCCTGTTTCTTTTTGTCTTTTTGACTGAACCAAGTATTTATAAACTTGTGTCAGTATTGTGCAGGTGCATGACAATTGAGCCTCTTACTTGCCATATTGATTAACTCCATAAAACAAAAAGTATAAAATTTGATTAAAAGGAATTTTAAAAAATAATTTGTATTAACCTTAAATTTAAATAAACAATGTAGAATGTATGTTTATATACTGTTATATTAAAGCATAGCTTTAATGTAATGATATATAAAATTAATTACAGAAAAAATGTAAAAATAATAATGATTATATTAAGGATTTACAAATGGAGTTAATTTATTTGATCTGTGAACAGCTCAATTATTACATCTATGGTAATGCTGGATGTTGTCTTAGGATACAAAAAAGAGAACATTTTTGTCTCAAAATTAATATGCAATTGAAAATAAATATTGTTTTCATAAATTAATAGAGCAGTATTAAAAATGTATCTGATTAAAAATGATTTTTACTTTCCCAGCTGCTATATATAACAGAGGGAAAGTATGGAGATGGTCAAAAAAATGACCCCCAAGAGTTTTACATTTTTGGACTCAGGATCTTGAAACATCAACAAATGCAAAAAAAATTTGTGGGTTTTTTCTGTATGTATGGATGTTAGTGTGTGCACATATGTGCTTTGAAGCTTAATAACTTCTGTGCTTTTTGTTGAAAATTTTTGAAATTTTGCACGGAGGTTTGTGTATTATGGGGACTAATGCTGTTAAATTTTGATGGTTAAAGGTCGACAGATTAGGAAGATAAAGGGGGTCGTGTATCATAATATCTTGAGTAGGGTTGGACTTAATGACAATTTTACTTGTTAGCGTATTAGCATTTACAATTTTTTTTATAAAACCAATCCCTACCCTCAAAATTAATCTTTTTGCCATTTTGTAATAATTAAAAATATAAAGCTTTTTAATAAAAATATCATAACAGATGGGGCCACACACTCAGTTTTAAATGTTGCTGGGAAAGTTAAGTAACTCATTGTTGGATTCTATATCTAACAGATAAAAACTTATAAATTGCTTTGGTCTAAAGAATAACTAACTGCCAAATTCAGCAATCTCATTTTAATACAATAGAAAAAAACTTTAATACTTTTATTTCTATATCTCTTCACAAGTATTTGAATATCCTCAATTATTTGACTTACCTTTCATATATTTTTGAANAAAAAATTATTTTTGATATAAAATAATTAATTTAATTTTTCTGAAATGTAAATGATCCATGTCCTTTTTTTTATATCAATGTGATTCTCATTTGTTAGATATTACAGTATATTATAATTAAGTTTAGTTATCTAATATTCTTTTGTGAATGCAAATAAAATCATTTATCATGATTTTCCAGATTTCTATTAATTTACAATAATTTTGATTTTACACATTGAATAAATGACACTAATATTTGTAGAGAAATTTATAAAAAAATTCATATTAGTAATGTTTTAAAAATTTATTATAATTTTGTGCTAATTTATAAAGCAAAAATAATTAGAAATTTTAAAGCATCTGAAAAGATCTATTATTTAGTCTTCAATTATTATTTATAATAAATAATATATTAACTGGTATACTTATTTTTGTTTTGGCAAAAGCCTAGCATTGTAATAATAAACTTTCATATCTTCATTCAAGTGCTGATATTATTCTTTATGAAGAGATGAGATTTGTCTATTTCTTCTAAAATTGTTATTATAACTAATCTTAGTCTAAAATTACATTAATAATTTTATTATTTTTTGTATAGAAAAGTAAATTGGTTAATTTTTTCTCTAATAATTCTAAAATCTAATTATTCACTTTACAGAGTAGAAAATACAATGCAAAAAATTAATGATATTAATCAGCGTCAAAAAGATATTAATGGAAGAATTCAAAACTTAGAATTTCAAGTCAACAGAATAGAACAGGTTTCTCAAGATTGCTTTGAATCTTTATCAGTTATGAGAACATGTATGAAAGAAGCCTCTAGCCCAACATCTTTATTACAAAAGCATGATGATTCAATTCTTTTAGAATCTGAACATGAAGATGATTTGTCACCAGTTCCATCTATTGAAGATACATCACTTCGAATTCAGATAGATAATGCTCAGGAAAATCAAGACAAGCCCTCTACTTACAAAGAATCTTATCCATCAAGAGTATCATTTGTTGATGATGATATTCATACTACTCCACCTCCTGAAACAAACCAATCTAACACTGCACAAGCACGATTACAAAGATTTAGACCACCTCCACTTCTTTCTCGACAGCAAACAATAGCAGCTCCAGAAAATTTAACTAGAAAATTAAGTGAAAGTGGTTCTAGTGGTTTATCTAGAAGGCATCCATTACAAAGAGGAAAAAGCATTTCTTATTTAGATTCAGATGAAATGATTGGTGGTTCTCAGGTTTCAAAAGTTGGTCGCAGTTTATCTTGTACTGCACAGTCATATTGGCTTAATACTGATCCTTCTATATATATAATACCACCTACACCAAAACCACCTCATTTATCTGTCACAAAAGGAGAATATACAAGCATCACTGATGATCTTGAGAATACTGCATGTATTAATCAGATTCATTTACAACATCAGTATTCTTCTGAATCTCGATCAAGTAGTATTGAACAGCCTCAACTAGCAATCGAAACAGAAACATTATATGATGCAGAAGAAACAGATTATCATCTAATGAAAGGTTTAATTCGCAGGAGGTTACACAGTAATTTAGAAACTGTTACTGGTAGTTTGGAAGAGTTACAAAGTATTCATTCAGATTCAGACAGTATTTCTGAAGAAGCTGGAGACAGTGTAACAAAAGACAACCAAACAAGTGATTCAGCACAATACATTCCCAAGCCCCAAGCACAAGATGATTTCTGGTCAGAAACTACATGTTGAAGTCTGTAATGAAACCAATAAATCAAGTATTTCTTTTTTAAAAAAATAAAAACCAATTTTTTTAAGACAATCTAAGATTGCTGTGATGCAAGCTAAAATGTGCAATATGCTTAGGATGACCAAATTGTAATTTATATAGGCCCATAATGACATTAATTCAAATTTATTGAAGTTTATATTGAATAGTTTGAAGAATATTTTATCAATATGATTGAAGTATCATGATGGTTTTCATATTCATTCTACAAAATAATTTAAGCTCAGATTTCATTTAAGCAAATATAAATCTCAATAAAATATTCTTAATTACCTATAGCACAGTGCTCAATATGATTGTGAAACAGGCATATAGAAATCATATCTTCTATTTTTAAATGTTGAATATTAATAATAGCTTATATCATGTTTAGCTAAAATAATTGAAGGCATTTTAAATAACTTATTTCACTTAATATTTAAGTAATTGAAAACAAATACATTTATCATTTCATCACTATTTATTATGATTATTATTAATGAAATGTATTTAAAAACTGTTTTTCAGCTTTATTATAATATGTATTTATGTACTGTACCTAACTTATATTCTATAATAATAATTCCTTATTGATTCAAAGTGTTTTACAGTACTTAAGGTGCTGTTTCAGTTTACAATTTATCAAAGTATTGTTTTTACATGTCAGAGCTTATCTTTTTTGATCATATTGTTTTGTTATTTACAACAACTTAAACAATTCCATTTTAGAGAAATCATTGAAATTTAAATAATCCTATCAACCTTATGTAATTCATATTTCATATTTAAATTTTTCAAATTATATATTTATAAACAGTAATAAATACCAAGATTTTTAGACAACTTACCATATTATAATATTTAATATACACTTTACTGTACTTAAAAATTTTAAAATTTCAAAAACTATTTGCACTCTTATAACAATTTTTAAGAGTCTTTCTGATAAATATATGTTAAACTGTGATATTTTCAATTATTGATGTTTGTATATGTGTTTTTGTCTAAGAGGACAATCAAACTGTATATAAATCCCAATTTAAAAGTTTACCTCCAATTGTAAATTTTACTGTAATAAATTTGTGTAAACAAATTAAATTTTTCTTTTGTTCATCTCTGTGTTCATAAATCTGCCACTAAGATAAAAGCTAAGTTTATGTAAGACAGTTCTGTATGTAGATAGATATTTTTATATGAAAACCTCAACACCATCCATGCATTTCCAGCAACCAAATTTAAGAACACAAACGTTTAGGGCTTATTTCACAAGCCTACATCAGGTTTATACATAGCTTCCAATATGATAACATTCGAAATGTTTACCAGTGGAGTAGCTTTGTACTTGTTAAATTACATAATGTATATATTTCCTGATAAAGGTCAATGAAAAGGACCGAAAACGTTCGATTAGTAAATATTTTACTGCATAATTAACGATTCCGTATTTGTTGTTAATTAGTGGAGCGTTATAGCTTCGTGGGGGCCTAGGCAAATTTGAATTTGGGGATCCCCATAGTGTGTTGATTTCCAATATTTTTCTTTGGGAAATATTCTTATGAGATTGGTTTGGGGCCCCTTATTGGTGGAGGCCCCAGACAATTGTATATACTTTTTGCCCACAGGATAACCCCCCCTGCAGTTCAGCATTTTTTTTTTTTTTTTTTGTTAAATCTGACGCAGGCATATGAAATAAACGAAGTTGAATTTGTTTTGGGCTTATGTTCTTAGCAAATTTGGTTGCAGGAAATGCATGGATGGTGTTGGGATTTTCATGTTAATCATAGTTTCAGCTTTGTTCATCTATTTTGATGTTTTTATAGAACTTAAGCGGAAGTAGAAAATAATAGCCTTACATATTTTTCTCAATTGATTTTACAAAACAACAGTATCTAGTTCATCGATTGTTTAAAGGTTTCTATTCTATTCTTTAAAGAAATCGTTTTTATTCATGTTTATTGCTCGTGTTCATTTTCCATATTACTTAAGTTAATGGAATTCAATTGATAAACGGCGATAGAATGACGTAATTTACTTCACTCCTTTTATTGCGCATATTTCATTCTATTCTTTTCCAATAACAATAGATTTTACTTAATTGTTAATTTTGATCGTCCGCTTTTTAAATAAACTTACCTTATCTTCCCCGTTTGTCTTCATGAAGCAAATGTCGTCTGCTTATAACGTTGGTAAAGTTGCCAGCTTTATTATTATTTTATTTTTTTTTTGTAAATTTGTATCACCAGCAAAAATAACGATCTAATATTGTTCGTTAATTTTTGAAAATTATTAAATAATATATATTAAATAAAACATTTTATCTGTTGATTCTTCAAAATTTAATCAGACATTAGCGTGGCAACACTTAATTTTTTCCGATTTATTAGAAAAAAATTAACATTTTTGTACATAATTTATAAGAATCTCGAAGTATTTTTTTTAAATTTAAATAAGTAGTAACAATAATGTGATAGTAATATTTAAATTTGTTCAAGTATAATTTTAAAATAAGCGCTTTTCCTTCATTTGCATGGAGATTGCCGCGCTTCTTTAAGTATTGTTTCTATAATACAAAATTATTATTAATAAAATAAGAAAAGACTAAATATTAAACTATAAAAACTTAATATTAAATTTAAAATTAAAAAACAAAATGATCGCGAACAAATTTTTATGATTTAAAAGGCTGATTTATCAAAGTATAAACTTACGTTTCAATATTAATTCGTATTTTTTAAATTTTGTTTCGCGTAAATATTACTATAAAGTTCAGTTATAATCGACACGGAAATATATGACGTAATATAGCTTTAAAGCATGGAGTCGATGTGAATTTATTAATTTCGTTATCAAATGTGGAAAAGAGGATATCGATCTAGAATGGAAGTGTTAAGGATATTTGTTTACTTCCTTCGCTACATCGGATTCTAAGCCTTCAATTAGGATGTTTGGAAACAGAAATTGCTTAATTGCGTGATTAGTTTAATTATTTTGACTACATAATCAACGTTTAACTGACGTGTTGCATCGGAAGAGACGAATTACTTTAAAAGGTCGTGCAAAACGGGCAGAAATAGCAAGTGGGTCTTTTAACCGTTCCTGTTGTTTGTCTTTGACAGTCGTAGATGTTTATGCTTCGTTTCAACACACTTTCCTCAACGTTTTCTTCCAACGCCCACCGCGCTCATTCTTGCTAATCTAGTAAATTGCATTTCGTTTTTCGAAATCGTCTTACGAGCGCGTTCTCTTACGCAACCGAAATTTCGGATTTTTGTCTAGAATTTCTTTGCGGATACCAAAATTAAATTAAAAAATAATATAATATAATATAATTGAGAACGAAAGTTTATAAAACTTGTTATCTTTTACAAAATGCTTTTGACCCGGTTTTAAATCTAAATTTTTAAGTCCGTTTCGCAATTTTCGAATTATAAATGTAGATCAAATCTGGGTAGAGTCGTTCGCTCGACATTGGGTACAGTCATTCGCTCGATTTTTATTTTTATTATTTTTTCTTCTTCTAAATTTTTAAGACTTTACTAGCGAAGAATCAAACTTACCATCTGGGTGTTCCAACAAATCAACCAGAAACTGAATGATGGAAGAATAACTTCTAAAAGTTATTTTTTTAGGGGGGAAAAACTATCGACAGACTATCAACCATTTAATCTTTCTTCTTCCCCCTTTTTCAAATCTAAAAACTTTCATTTTTGTTACAGAAAATGGTTTTAAAACCAAGTTCTAAGTTTAGTTACGATAAAGAAAAACGTTACAATCTCATAACGAAATGGTATTTTTGTACAAAACGACGTGTAAAATATATCATAATATTTTATCAAGTGAAACTCGGGTTTCTGGATTTAGGGTTTAAAATATAAATTTAAAGCGTGAATTTTAAAATAAATATATATATATCTTTCCGGGTGGCTGTTTGGTTAATGTAATAAAAAAAAAGGAAGAAGAGGGAAAGAAATCGATGTTGGTAGAATAAAAATTTTTCTATCAAAGTTCAAAATTTATCGCGGTTGTCGTTATAATGGGGGCTGCCACGTAATTGAGAATAGTAGCATATCTGCGGCGATCTCTTAAGGTAAAGAACGAGACAGTCATCGTGGATATCAGTAAAAAAGTCAAGACGTGCTTGTGAAACATTCCAGACATTTTTTTACTAGAATTGAAACAGTATACAGTACACTTGGAGTGTCATCAATAACTTATATCGAGGCCAGGAACTTTTAAAGCCATCGAAAAATACGAACATTGACCAAAATATGTTCTGGTCATCGCCAAATCTCGGGCAAATGGGAACAAAGAGAAGGGGGGAGGGACAAATCCACCGCTAAAATGTTGCGAAGGAAATATATTTTAGATTGAATATATTACAAAATTGGCACAAGAGATACTTTATATTTATATATATATTTTTTCCTATATATATATATATATTTATTTATTTATTTATATTTTTTAAGGGGGCGAAACGTTACGAAGCGGCGCTTGCTGTTTCTTTTCGTGGTAGTTCGTGGAAAGTGGCATTCAAAAAGGACTTCTCGTTGTGAGATTTGTCACAATGTTCCCTTAGAGAAACACAATCGTTGAAATTCTCACTGCACAATTCACATCTGTAAATATTGGAAGGCGATCGGGAGGGGGTGGGACTTGGAGTGTTCGGCGAGTTGGTTCTATTAGTGTTATTTGCCAATACACCGGCTGCCAGGAATGCCGGGTGAAACGGTGACACTAACGGATTGGGGAATGACGTCATTAAGCTATCGGTCCCTCTGTTTTGATAGAAGTCTGGAAACGTCAAGGCGAGGTTCTGCGGATCGTATAGGCGAGAAAATAGATCCTCCCTAACAGTGGGACCTGGATGAGGAAATGGGTACTTGTCGAAATAATGGATAGATTTGTCGCTGCTAGTGGAAAGCAGTTTTCTGTGAAGGTTTAAGTTGGCACTGTGACGATCGCGACTTCGCTTAGAAGGAAAGGAAGCGTTACAACCCTCTACTGTGCATTTGTGCATTAATTTTAGATGCACGTTTTGATAATGAGTTTTGACTCCGAAATGATTCTGAAAGATCTTTCCGCATGCTGTACATCTTCGCGGATTTTCTTTGTCCACCGGAACATCCACTGCACTAGTTAGATTAGGGTTGCGATAGATGGGAAGTAGGGAGAGTTGCGGATCTTGTTCCGCATCCCCGTTAGTCAGCGGATGGCTATTTAGCATGCTGACCGGAGACGAAGAAGCCAGGCCCAGTCCCGGTGCGTGAAATGAAACGCCACTCGTATTAGTTTGGTTATCGTTAGATAATCCAGGAAAGGTCCCTAGAGACAAGGACTCGAGATGTCGAAGAGGATTCTCTAGAGCATCGTCACTCTTTTCTATTTTGGGTTCTTCTTTGATATCGTCCGCATCGCAGGGATTCGTTATTTCGGTTTTGATTATTTTTGTGGAAAAATCGGTCACTTTGTCTTCTTTATCTAAAGAATCGTCATCTTCTGTCGTCAAATCTTCTGATTTGTCTATGTATGTGTCGCTAGAAGTGTCTTCGCTGGAAATATATTGTAGATCGTCATCACTCGTGACCGCACATTTTGTGGGATTGAAACATTTACGTTTACTCACTCCTTTCAGCGAAGGTGGTGGATTGGGTTCTAAGTTTTCGTCCAAACGAGCTTTCTTTGTTAGAGGAAGTGGCACCAACTGTGATGGATATGGCACTAATGACATAGGGTAAGGTGTCGATGTTCTTCCGTCATGGGGACTTATCCTTCTTCTAACGTTTGGTGTGTGTAGCTTCGGATTAGGATTAGCACTGTGACGATTTCTGCTCCTTCTTGAACTAAACATCATATTACAACCCTCGACTGTACATTTATGCATTTCTCGTAAATGCACAGCGCTAAAATGAATTTTTAAAGCGCCCTTGTCACAAAACGTTTTCAGGCAAACGTGGCATTGAACTCTCTTCTTACCGGTGGATGGATTTGTGATAAGAGTGCTCAGCACTAACGGGTTCCAACGACGTTTCATTGGGTTAGCTGATTTCCTGAGATGTTTTACTTTCTTAACGGCAAATACGCTATTGCAGGACGCTTGAGTCAGGTTAATGGCCATGGCATTAGAGTCGTCTTCCGAACCACAATCGGTGACACTAACGTCTGATGTGACGGTTGTGGTACTGGTGACAATTGTAGTGCTGGTGCTAACCGAATTAGAAGTGCAGGGACTGGAACTTTGTCGATACTCGTACGGTTGCATGTTTTGCAGTTTATTGAGTGGCGACAGGGGACTGCTGGAGGGCGATAGAGAACTGATGCTGGACGGTGGTCGTAACAATTGGCGCACCACAACTTGATTTGTCCTCTGTATAAATCGTTTTATATCGGATTCGGCAGATGCAGTGTGGACAACAAAGTCTAATTTCTCACTGTTTTCTTGCAACAGTAATTGTTGAGCTATATTTTTGGTCTCTCCGAACCTGAGAAATTGCTGTAGAATCAAAGTTTCTTCATCTCTTGTAGCTAATAACCATCTCTCCAGCACTTGTCCGTTACTATCCTATTGGAATTGATACAATAAATTGATTAAAAAGTAAAAAAAAAACATTCAAAACCTTAAATCATATTTTTTACATACGTGCAATATATAACCTCTAGAATAATCGTCGTAAGTCCATCCAAATCCGTGAAGAACTTGTAATACTTCTTCGTGTTTTAGAACGCTAAACAGTCTGTCCAAAAGAATTTTTAGCCTTACTGGTATAGCTTGAGTACCGTAAAGCATCAAAGATGCAATGTCAAAGGCTATGGTAGGTTGAACCAACTCCACTTGGTGACAGTTAAATAAATGATGATATCCTAATTTGTCTAAAGCTATAAAAATAAAAATAAGAAATATTTATAAGAATAATTACTTGTTTAAAAACAGTAAAATTAAAGCATACTTTGTTATAATTTATTAGTAAAAAAATAATATTTTGCAGTACATTTATAATATAGAAAAAGGCGTATTCGTGATACTTTAAAGTAGGCTATAAAATTCATATACCGACTACACCCGGATGAGTAACACAATCTAATTGATATGCTGCAGAAGATTATTTTTAGAAGGGCAACCTGCTAATTTTCTACTGCTAACTTGTTAACAATATAAATTTTAATAAATCAGTATACATTAATTTTTTTTCAAGATGAAAACAAAAATAATGTAAAAGACTATATAACGACTAATGACGTAGCATTTGCTTATCACTTGCTTTAAATTGATTTACATACGTATTAATACTTTTTAAAATCCTTTTCTTTGATAAATATAGACATATTAAGTTCAGAAAAACCGTGAAGACCAATGAAATAACAAAATATAACGCAACAGGAAAGAATAAAATTGTTCCGTTCCTATTTTACATTTCATTTGGCAATTGGTACCCATTATTTTCATCCGTTCGGCATTTTAAAAATAATAATAGGTGCATTGGCAGAGTTGTTTATTGTTATAAAGTTAAAATTTCTATCCCATCAATCATTAATGTAGATCAGACGGAAAATAAAAGTTCAAAGACCGATCCCTGCGGGATTCCGTGACATACCACTTCGATTTCAATTGTATAATATTTAGTTTGACTCTTCTTGCTTCTTAAGTAGGACTAGCCAAAACGATAACCCTTTTATATTGGATTTTTATCAAAAATTTATGCAAATCATTTTCCTCGCTGACTAACAATGAAGCCGTTTACTTATAGGTTATCTTTTCAAAAATATAAAGCCTATAATCAATAACAGTAACGCTAAAAAAGGGGGGAACTTAGATGATCTAGTCAATGTTTAAAATAATTGATTTTTTAGTAATCCGAGTTGGCATTGTGTCCAAACTTAAGTCTTTTCTAGATTTAATCGTCTCGAAATATTGGGGAAGAAAAACTTTCCAACTTTTCTGGAAATATTAATTTCGCACTTTCACTTGTTACAGCTGCGAAACTGATAGCACAAAACGCATAAGACGTTTAGACAATTAAAACGAATCGATTATACATTACGCGATGAATATAAATGACATTTCGAATTCCGAACTCGAAATTATTGTTTAACCGATGAACGCTTCCTCCATTTTCCTAACAATGGATCAATTTAACATTCGATTAAAGTGCGCATCGACAGATGAGACTATTGTTGCATTTCCGTCATAAAATCTACTTTTATTATGCTCCTACAATATTCTTGTCTAGAAGAGAACCTGAGATTGTACTATCTCATTCGGTGGAATTCTTTAATAAAACTTAATCCTTCAGTAGCCGCCTACAAAGATTAAAAGGATTCTTTGCAAAAGAATGCAACAGTATAGTCTAAAATTTAAACGTCATGTATTGGTTTCTATTTCATCAATTTCTATTATAAAAATTATATTTAGTTAAAATACTTACTATAGCCTATATCTTTATATAATTTCCTCAGATAAATGAGCCCGTTTTATAAATAAATAATATACCTCAACAGTAACAAGTAATTAGACTCTACCAAAAGCTGTATGGCTTGATATATTATTGTAATATATTATCGCTTAACTCAGTTGAAAAAATTCATATACAAATTCTAATTTTCAGAATTTTTAAAAGAAACAAGCCAAAAATAATTTATTTATAAACTTTCGAACTTAACAAATGCCAGATTTCTTCTCTATGTACAGAAACTGAAAAGGAGATAAAAGATTTATTACTTACACTATACTTTTACAGACCGTTGAACCGTTTAAAACAAACATTTTAGAAATGTAGATAGAAAGTAACAAAACTAGAATAAAATTTCAAGAAAGTAAAATATTTTGTTAACGTTCATCAAAGTATATATCAACTTATTATAAAAAAAATGAATTCGAGAATTATGTTCTGGATAAAACATTTAATTAAAGATACAGACTAAACTAATACGTTTTATAGCTTATATATAATAATGTCACTTTCTAAACAAATCTTGTATGAATTTTTAATTTTTGAACTTAATTCTATTATAAGAAAAAGCTTACATAAATAGAAAAATAAATAAAGGCCTAGGTAATATCTAGTAATTATCTATATACTAGACTCTAGTATCTAACTATCTAGTAATTTATCGATGATCAGTTATAGAAAAGTATCAATATTTTAAGTGAATTTTAATAGATATAAATGACAATCTCATAGATGAACATGTAAATTGACAAAAATAGCATTTAGTGCGCATAAAAGTAAATTTACGATTATTATATTCGTTCAACGATAAAACATTTGCATTTGGTTTTCAATTATACGAGTATTTTAATATTGTCTTTGATGATATTTTTACTTATCTTTTCTTAGAGCAGTTAGGAGAAACTCTTATTCCATGCTTTCGAAACATTACAGCTTAATAAATAAAATATAAAATACTAATACTACATATAACAATAGGAATATATTAAACTGCTTCTTCTCTGTGAAAATCAATTTCTAAAAATTATTACTAATTTTCGACTACCACAATCTATGACAAACATATGTGAAGTATTTTACACAATGAATTTAGAAAATATTTCATATTTTAAACATTAAACAAAAAATTATTTTAAAATATTTACATTAGAAGAGTTAACATTTGTGCTAATATAATTTTTTATTATTTTTTAAATATTGCGAAACTATTTCATGTTTAAAATAATCGAATTTGGTAAAGTAGGCCTAACATATATACAGTATATAATAAAGTATAATATAATCCTTTAATCTACATATAATACATATACATTTATAAAATCCACAATTGTATATAGAGTATATATGATTATAAATGGATTGATGTAGGCCGATATTTAATCAGCAATAATTAAAATATTATATAATTTATATAGAAAAATTTATTATCACACAGAATATATTTTATTTCATTATGATTTACAAAAATAAATTACATTTAAAATTAATTTCATAATGAAATAAAATATACAAATAACCTTAAAAGGTTAATTATATATTTTATTTCAGAAATTATACATTATTGTTCNTATTATTATTATTACAGAATTAGTTATTAAATATTTAAAAATCTTTTGAGATTCTTCAAATAATTTTCTATGCTAACGTTAATGCTGTGAAAAATATAATTATTAATTAACTGCTTCGTACGCTTAAATTTCAATTTTTAAAATTAATTTTTTTTTTTCGATATCGTCATTAATATTGATTTGATATTCAAAAACAGGCAATAAGCTTACTAATAATTTTTTCATTGCTTACTAGGTCTATATATAAAACGTTTACGATACTCTAGGCCTATACTACTCCCCTATAATAATAGTAGTGTTAAAGCCTATTTTCAACTTCTAATGAAGATTTTGAAGGGGCATTGAAAGATAAAATAGACATTTTATTCCTTACGTTAACGAAAAACAGGAAATAAATTGGGCGTATAAAATGCTAATCTGATCTACGTGATTTATCATGTAAAATCGCTCTTAAATTAAATAAAGTTAATATTTTACGTCCATCGTATCGCATCGATAATAATGAAATTGTAAAGATTTATCTATTATCTCTAATGTAAACTCAAACTATTCTAACTGTTTATAAAATTCACATAAAATTTGCAAGTTTTTAAACTGTCTAGATTAATAATTACAAAGATATTTAATATATATCTACTAGTTTTTGCATTTATTTATTTTTATTAGAAATTTAAAAATCTAAAGAATTCATGTCAAGAAGTACGCTTAATAATGTACTGTATGTATTTTATTATTTCATACATAGAATAAATTGAATGCGCTCATTATTTTCACATATTTGTTATTACTTATTATTACTATAACAAAATGTAAAAGTTTTATATTTTTTTTGTCTTAACGTAAGAAATAACATTGGCTCATTTTATTCTCACAATGTACAACAACAACTTGGGAAAAAAAAACTAGATATCTTATCTGGTAACAACAATGATGACATGATACATGTTTTCCGATTTAGCTATTTTCTCGGGGGAAGGCTGTATATAATAATTTCATATAATTTAATGAATCGACAACTTCTTGTAAAATTATATATAAACTTTATTCGAAAGAATTTATTTAAATTCTAAAACATTAACGCTTTAACATATAGATTTTATTATATACAAAATTTTTTTGTTACTAAAACAAATTTACTTAATTTTTTACAGATAATTTCTTATTTTTCTGAAAAATCATCCATATTTTCTCGAGATTTTGTTCTATGAATCTTGAAAGTCCATTGAATCTCGGAACAAAGGTAAATAAGTTAAAAAAACTTACCTTTGTAAATGGTAGATTTTAATAAACGTTATAATTACAGAGTTTAATCTATCGTTAATAGCCTATGTTATTGTTTATATAACATCTTTAAAATATATATGTAACATAATTTATATTAAATTTAAATTCGGGTTTGAAATTTAAAATTATAATTTGCGTAAAGACAGATGTTTTATAGTTTAACATTCAGAATTTTTTGTAGGTTGTACTGTATAGTATGTTAATGCATAATTACTCTTATTATAAAATTGTTATGTATATAACAACTTAGAATATTTTCAATAATTTGTTTAAAATTCATTTAATTTATAAGCCTTTTGAAAAGATAAAGAACAAAACTTATTTCAAGGATTTTTAGGTGTTTCTGTGCCATGGACACCGTTGGCAGTCTGAAGCCTATAGACATCTCAAAATAATGTATTACTGTAGGCTGCATAAAATGAAATATAAAGAAAATAAGTTATACTGAAATATAGTTATCAAAATACATTTTTTTAAATTTTGATATTAGTAACTTAACGCACTAAGTAGCAATGTTTGTATATAAGTCTGTAATTTTTTTATTCACGTTCAGAAACCCTCTGAAATCTATCCACTGACCACCAAGTAGTCCTATGGACCCCAGATTAAGAATCCTTGCCTTATTTGATGCATCAATAGCTAGCTTGAAACAGTTTTATATAACGTTTATATATTATTTAAGCGTAGTTTGTGTATAGGATGTATTATTGATTAGAATAAATTTTTTACAATCAAATTTCTCTCTTTTCTCATTTACGGATCATTTCCTTATCGTTACCTTATAAAGTATATAAAATTTAACGCTAAAAACTGTTTAAAATTAACTAAGTTTAAAGAAAATAGGATGCATTATTGATTAGAATAAATTTTTTACAATCAAATTTCTCTCTTTTCTCATTTACGGATCATTTCCTTATCGTTACCTTATAAAGTATATAAAATTTAACGCTAAAAACTGTTTAAAATTAACTAAGTTTAAAGAAAACTGCATTTTTTATCGTTTAAATAAAAAAACGAATCATTTAGGATCAGTATAGGGTATTTTTAAGATAGGTAATGAATCCTTTATGAATAACTCAGCAGCTATTCTTTACGATCTATATCGCTTCCCATTTAATGAACATATAATGTTTATTGAATACAGTTTTGTCAAATACTGTAATTATTTAAATTGATATATTCGAAGAATTTTTAATTAATCTCGTCCCGAAATTAAAAATTACTTTTTTTTCGTGTCTAGACCCCATGTCAAATCTGAACACGCCCATTAGAAGAACGGTATCTCATTTACTTTCCGATTATTTTGAAAGGATTCATCCCCAGTATGAGAAATTTCGCAATTAATTCTTAACTCAAGTGGTTTTCGTTGTTGATTCTTTCTTGATTATAACAAATCGATTTAAAAGATTTTAAATAATAGATTATCATAAATACAAAATATTTCAAATAAAAAGTCATAAAGATATCCCAACTTAACAAAAACAAAATTAAAACTTTAATATAATAATTATTTCAGCTCGAAATTAATCATGAATTCAATTAGATCGATTTTTAAATATAGATAATAACTGGTTTTATAATCTATAAAATTTTAGAAATTTTATTTGGGGTTTAGACGTATTTTAGGATTATTATTGAGATTATAGGATATTGGGTATAACTTTGATTTTAGGATTTTATTACTATTAGAATAGCTTTAAAATAATAAAAATACAAATTTCCTCATAATCGCTTCTGAAATTCGATTAATTAATTGGCGGCGATCGGTAGCCCTGTAACTGAATTTAAAAACTTTATTATTTAGGAATATAAATCTTATAAATTCACTAATTTAATTGTTATTAAAATATATACTTCGATAGTTTCCATTTTCTAATATTAATTGTGTGTTAATTAGAAAAATAAAACATAAAATAAAATCTTTCCGATCGCATAAAGTTAAAGCTTTCTAGCTTGACATAATAAATTAAATATCAAAATCAATCACGTAAACAATTAAAATTGAAAAGATGTCAGAACTCGAAGAATACAGATCAATTAATAAACCAATTTTAATCACTTTTAAGTTAATTAGGAAAATGAAATATAGGTATTTCGTAAATTTAGATTTTTCATAAATTTGCATTAGTATTTATTAGGCCTATACATAATCTGTGTAGGCTAACAATACTTAAGTTAAACCTAAGAGACATGTTGATCGTGTGTAAAATCAACATGTTCCTTACATTATATTCAAACAATGTGTAAATATTTAGCTTATAAATAATTAAAAATTCAGAAGAAAGAATAAAAAATCATTTTTAGATTATTAAATACTATAATTTAAGATTTTATAGCATAGCAATTAAATTTTGAAGCGTATAAAAGTATGGGCGGGGAACGAACAAAGCTTACACTCTGATTCCTCCCCCCTTTAATTTTTTTCTGAGCATTTCGACAAAGCCATTCTTTGCATCATCTCCGATTTTTCTGTTGTTAAATTATTTTAAAAGACTAATAACATAGATATATTTTCGAATTGTTCTAATTTAGTCTATTGGTTATCATATAAGTTAACATAAATAACAATCTAAAGCATAAATCTATTGTATAGTTTCTGTTTTGGCTGTATCATTCGAAGAAAGAAATCAAAGTTTAAATTATTAATAAATTTATTGAAAATATCAACCGTCCAACGTACGAAATTCTGATAGTTCGTACAAATGATAATGATTTTGCAAAGAATAATAAATATCTGTAACGTTTAGAATGACTTAAAGTTAAACAATAAAATCTATAATCTAAACTCTTCTTATAAAATAAATTTTCGAAAAGAATATTATTTACATATTCAATAATTTATTAAAACTAACAAAGTTAATTATGAAGCACTTTTGCAGATAGTACTCAATAAATTAATATTCACAAATCTTATTTTTAATAAAAACTATAATAATTATTAGAAATAATTAAATATAACAGCATAAATAAAAGGCTTTACATCTGTATCATTAATATTTGATTCGGTAGCGAATTCATCACGTAAACAAAACAAATAATTCCATTAATATACGTTAACTTTTAATGCAAGATTGCTAACCTATTTATTTATTTGCATTAACATAAAAATTATTTCATGTGGATTCTATCATGTTAAATTAGTCTAAAATTATCGGGGGGGAATCGGCTTTGTTTACCTATAGATAAGCATTATTTAATATTAAGACGAATTTTGATTTAACTAATATAAAGTATCTTTAGAACTTACAGCTTAAATATTGGCAATAATAATCAAATTTTATACAGTCGACCCCTCTATAACACTGTTGATTATTCCGTTTTATATGAATTCCGTGTTGTACGAGTCGCTTAGATTTTACAAATATGTGTGCCGGGCTGTGAACGGCTCACGTATTTGTAAAATCTAAGTGGCTCGTACAACACGGAATTCATATAAAACGGAATAATCAACAGTGTTATAGGGGGGTCGACTGTACTTTGATGACAGTTATTGCATTTTGTTACTGTAAAATAATCATCCAAGTACTAAATTATTCTATATGTTTTCTTTATTATTACTATCTCATGATTTATGAATAGAACAAACCATTCATTACTTGATTGCCCGCACAGTTCGGTATGAAACTTTCAACAAAGAGGAAAATATTACGAAATTCAAAACCATTCATTATCATTTTTATATATCTGAATTATTTTTATAAAGTATTCTTTTGTTCTTATCCGCTATGCAATTAATTTGAACCGAAATATTAAAACAACATATAAATTTAATGCCAACTAGGCCTACATTATGTAAAAATAAAATAGTAAAAATTTATTTTCAATTTATTTCAGGTCTACATAAAAAAATTAATAATAATTTTAAAAATCATTTCAATACGACCATTTTAAATATAATTTTAATGAATTCTGATATTCGAATTAAACTAATTTGTGAAAATTTACAATTCAAATTACAAAATTCAAAACGTTCTCTTTGTAACAGATGATTGAATGAAGTTTTACAGCTCTTTCAACAATACGGTTCGTTGTACGCAGCAAGCTACTAACAGTCTATTGGCAATTCTGATCTACTACAGATAAAATAAATGTCTTGATATAAGATTTTCTTCTATACTAAAAAAAAATGCTTATATAAACATATAGATAGCAAACTTCAAATATGGTAAATATAAGTTATATTGATAGTTTTTAACTTCTAACATTGTTACGAAGCGTCAGGCCTAGTATGTTATTAGATCTTCAAAAGGCCCCCTCGGGAAGCGTATCTAGCTTATATAATAGCCTACATTGAGAAACGCAAAATCATCTCGCATCCGGGAGGAAAATATCCTTAGCGTGGTTCACAGTGAATCGGTTTCTATCGCCTATCTTTTCTTGATAGGCGAACGACGGAAACTGATTCACTCTATAGTTTCGTCCATCAAATATGGACACAAACTGCTGGAAGATTTTAGTATTAGATTTATTTTCAGAAGTCACGTGATGGTCTAAAACGAACGAAAGATAGAAGATTAAGGATTCTTCCACCAAGTAAAACAATGTATGAACTATATATCAATATTTTATTTTGGCAATTTTTAGAATTTTAAAATTAATAATTGATAGTATTCCTGTCTCTGACTTAAGACTAAGATATATATTATAAAATTTTAAATTGACAAATTGTTAATATAGAATTTCAAATGTTTAAAAAACTATTTACATAAAATATTGCAAGTTGGACCTATTCAACGCATATTTATTTTTTAGTTCGTTAACAAATAAGCAAATTTCATTATTTAAAGCTCGTTTTTAATCATTTTACAATATGAAGACTGCTCAAAAATCCAAATTGGATTCAGTTTAATTAATTATCTCAAATTTCCCTAAAGTAATTTATATGTTTGATATATCTCTTAACATTTCTATTAATAAAATTTTTAATTATTTTTTCTAATTGTAAAAGTAAATTCTTATGCGTAACGAAACAAAAGCAATGAACTCCATATATTATATAGTTTTTAAAGTTATTCAATTCAATTTGTTAAAGAGCTATATTCAAATTTTTATACTTTTTAAGTTACTCTACACTTGAAATTAAACAGCAATAAGTCAGACCAATAAAAGAGGTATCAGAATGTTGATCATCCGAGCAATAATAAATGCTTTCTTGAGATAAATGTGAAGTAATTTAGTTAACATTAATTTAACTTTGTAATATTTAGAATTCTTTTTTGAATTAGTCTTGTAAAGTTTTCTTGTTTTAATGAATTTGTTTTCAATTTATCATAAATAAGAAGAAACATGAAAAGAATTTTCGCATAAACAATTTCAATTTTTATGAAAATAACCTTTCGGAATTTTAACTATTTCCGAACGATCCGAAAACAAATAAGCCATGAAATTAAATTATTTAAACTTTTTTCTACGGTTCATAAACATTTTGATCAATAAAATTATTAGAAATTATAGTTAACTTTTTAACTTATTTAATATATTTTAATCACAAATTCTTTCAAACTAATCAGAATTAAATTGATTTACATTGCCATTCATTTCTGATTACTTTAAAAGTGGAGATAAGTTGATTTGGGTCTATTTATTTTAAATTAGTGTAATTATAGAATTATTGTAGGTTTATTTGCTATTTTAGATAAGTTTTTTTTTTTTGTTAAAATATTTGCATATGAATAGGCCTACATTAAATCATCAAATTGTAGGTATATGAAAATTAAAAGGCATCAAATACTAATCAGATCACGTGTGTCCTCTTAATTATAAATAACATTTTTTATAATTAAGATCAGACAATTTGTCTCGCCAAATATAACTCTATAATTTAAAACATTTACTTAAAATTTTAGAGTAGTTTTAGTATCGGCAGATGTAAAAAAGTACAGTGAAAGTTCTCGGAATTTACAGAATGGATGCTGTTCATTCAGGTGATATTTTATTGTATACCAGCTGCACGCGAGTACAACTCGCCGCAGCCAATATCTTCTGCTAATCTGAAAATTTATATCAGTAGAATAAACATTACTTCTTACATAAATATATTACTATATTTCGAAATTTCGCTTAGGCCATGTGGTAAACATAAATTAATTTTTTAAATGAAATATAGCCGTTTTAAACATATTAACTAAACTTGTGTATTTTTATAAGGAATTATTTTAAGCTATAAATATGAAAATGTTACGCAAATTGATAAAAATATTAAATTTATTATTTTATTCGGCTAGATTTAAATAATTTAAATTTTTTTTACTGAAACAGATAGGCCTAAATTTTCTTAACTTGAAAAATAATATAAAAATAGTAAAAATAAACCTAAAAAGATCCCATATTTATCATAAAATATACAATAAAGAATTTTGAATTGGAAATTTTTCAGATAATTTTATGTTAACAAATCTTACTATTACCTTGAATTGTAATTTAGTGAAAATACGAAAGCATCTTTTAATAAGAGTTAATAATTTAATATTAAACTGTAATTTTCCGATGATGTTTATACTCTTAAATCTTATATATCTTCTATTTAAATATTTAACAGGTCTAAACTAATTAAGAACTTCAATTTTTCAGTATTTTACAAATAATTTAATCAGCATGTCTAATATTCTATTTGGATTTCCTAAAAATTATTATTATTATTACAGAATTAGTTATTAAATATTTAAAATCTTTGTGATGATTAAAATTAGTTAAATGATTCATATTTTGATAATCGTCTATATAGTAACAGTTTTAGTTGGTTAAATATATCTACATAATAACTTTAAACAATTATCGTACTTTTCAAATAATAAATCTAAACACACAAATAATCTTGTTATAAGATGCTTCACGTTCTTTGATTATTATACTTTCTTTTCTGTCAATATAGCTACCAATTTGGCTATTAATGAGGACTTATCACACCAGAATCAAAATGTGACAAGATTAGAACTTCTTTATTCTTTGAATCAACTCTAAATTGTACTGTACATTTTGGGTCGACCCCTCTTCAGTTGGAGCATACAACTTTCATAAAAACTGTAATTTAAATTTTAATGGTTTTTTAAAAGCTTTAAGTAATCAGTTTCGTTTGCTTTTTGAGAAGGTTTTAAATGAATACAAAAGATAACTTGTTTGGAACTAGTATTTAATTTTATAAAATCGTACTTGAAAGAAAGAAACTATATACGGAAAATTTTAAATTACAATTTTTATGAAAGTTGTATGCTCCAACTGAATAGGGGTCAAAAGACCCGAAATGTATATTTTGGAATTAAATGAAAGAATAAAAAGTTCTAATCTGGTCACATTTTGATTCTGGTGTGATAAGTCCTCATTAATAGTCAAATTGGCAGCTATATTGATAGAAAAGAAAACACAAATAATCCTTAAATTTTATTTAATTTATTTTTAACGCAAGCGTTTTAGTTTTATCCAAAGCAGTTTGTTTTATATTAGTTATAAGTTTTGACTATTTTACAGTTAGTTTGTAAGGGTGCTATATGTTTAACATTTTTATGGAGAATTTATACTTTTTAAAAATATAAATTTGTTCAGTTTATTGTTAATAAAATTTTAAAACAGTACAATTTCTTAAATTAATAATTATAATAATAATTTGATTTTACAACCTTTTGATTTTAAACTTCTTTAAATCATTAAAAAGCAAATTTTGACTCATAGATTTCCAATCCTAATTTTAATGTTTGAATTAGTTCAAATATTAAAATGAACTTTACTTTCATAAATAAAAGCTATTAAAATTATGTTGAAGCATCCTAAACAGAGTATTGCAAAATCATATAAGATAAATATTAAGTTATAATGTTAATACATCGTATCTGTGAAAAGTTATTACAAAGTAATTACAAATTACATTATTTTTTTTATAATTTAGAGACAACTGCTTTTTAAAATTAATTTTTAAATTCTTAATTCTAGTACGTATAATATTAAAATTAAAGTTATAACATGAAATAACAGATATTTATACATATTAATAATTTTCAGATAGTAAAAATCTTTGTAAATAGGTGGCCTATCTCAAAAACATAATATTTCGCATTGCCTAGTTATGTTCTATTGTTCAAATATGAGGCAGAGTTAAAATTTAATCTGAGATAACTCATCCTTAGATATGTTATAATCGCTCATATCAGCTGTCAGAATGCTAATAAATTATATATATTCTGGCATGAATATATACGTTACGTTAATGCATAACTTATTATAGATATATAACAATATTTGTGATAAATTATGCATTAATATGTAATTAAATTTAAGAAATAGTAAAAATAAAATAAATCTGTCTTTTTATCTATTAAAATCCAATATTAACGGATTTAATAATTTCTTAATAAATTTATTCGCTTTTATTTTCATTTTCACATAATTTTTAAAGCTGAAAAACACAATAATAAAGGGTTATTTAACATTAAATTAAAGAAAGAATTGTCGATTATAATTTAAGAGTCTACTTAATAAAATTCTTATAAAAGTAAATATTTACTTCAACAGACAATGTTAATACAGTACATCTCTACTTTCCAGTCTCTTTGGTGACAGATTTTAACACAGGTTTAAGCATTTTACTCTGTTTTGGTGCATTCTAAAAACTGTTTTGAATATAAAATTCACACATTTTAGGGAATTTATTTCACTTTTGTTGTTACGATGTTCAGGACAGTCTAGTGCTGGTATGGGGTCCTTTGCTCGTTAGCCAGTCCTTTTTTCCCCTAGCGGCCTGTTTTACCTTTTTTTTCAAATTAAACACAGCATGTTTATTAAAGATTTTATTTTCAGTTCGTAAAATTAATATATAATATATTTTTATTAACATTTATTTATAAAATTAATATATAATATTAATTTATAGAGCTACCTCAATAAAGACTCTATAGAGACCACTACGGGACCCTAAATTTTATCAAGCACAGGAAAAAATCCCCAGCTCCCTCGCCTAGTGACGTCATTGAGATATTTTTCTGTCAGATTATGTCAAAGGAATGAATGAATTATTATTATTTTAATTTTATGCCGTGAAATATATTTTTTAAAATTTATATAGAGCAATTCCAGTTTGCTAAAATGAAGAGAATTTCGTAATATTTTTACTTATTTACGATAAATTCTCGTCAAAATGACGTCAATTGACAATTTACACCTATTTAGGCCTAATTTTACTTACTTGAAAAACCGTTTTAAACTGTCATAACGCTTTAAATTTGAAGTAATTTCGACATCAATGTCTATTTTATAGATTCCTGACTATCAAAAACGACTGAAATTGTCAGAAAACAATTCGAAAAAGCCGAATTTGATCGTCATCTTGAGCAAGACTATACGTAGCAGACGACTTTTACGCACGTGAGCAGAAGCGATCGTTGTCCTCCTAACGTGAAGAATTTTAAACGCAACCGGATGTATTTTCGATATAAAGTCGTAAAAGAAAAATCGTTTTATAAAAATAAATTTTACTACGACACTTGGCTTAGACAAATAAAAAAATATAAAAAAAAATAATGCAAATGGAGAGATAATTGAAAAGCATTGTTTAATTTTTATAGCAAGACGTCTGTCGCTATTTACGACAGTCCATCCTGTCCCGTAAACACATTAATGTGACCACAAAGATTCGAAAATTAACAAAAATTTTCAAACGGTTGTCTTAATGGCGACGAAGATCGTGAGACATTAATAAAAATCGCGATACACCTCTCATCGTATAATGGACGGTGTGATAAAAGACATGGCGGATGTTAAGTACGTATAGTAATTTTACTTTTTTTTTACGATGCTAAGGGGGACAAGTTCAACATGGCCTGAAACAAACTAGAAAGGCAACTTTTTAAAAAACTCTACGATTATTTAAAACATTTCTTTCCCATCCCAATCTACTTTTACTTTAGTCTTCTTTTTTTTATCCACTTTTCCCGTTTATTTCCACTAGCTTGGCGAGAGGGTGTAAATTATTGTCATTGGATCTGGTGGCAGAACAATCTATCACCTTCTAATAAAGTGGCTGGTGACAGGAGTCGTCGCATGTGCATCGCTGCACCCGACCTTGCTCCTGATCGGCCCTGACCACTCGAGCGAATGAGCAATTTGTACACAGTTGGTGGTGCACAATAGGAAGAGCCACAGGGTGTGTCGTGCCCTTTGACCGTTCCATTAGATGTCATTAGGTCACCGTGACCCCTTAGTGGACAACTTTTCGTCCTCTTGTAACAGTAATTACATTTCTGTCATGGCTCGACTGCGTCTCCCCTCCATTTCCCTTCTTTTTTTGTTCATTTGACGAACTGTGCACTTTCCTCAAATGGAAGGCACGCTCCTTTTTTCACTCGTTAAAATTTGTTAATAACGCAATTATTTAACTAATTTATTTATTAGCAATAGGCAAAAAATTAAGCAAATGAGATATTATTCAGCAGAAATTCCACACCTTAATCCGTGAATTCCTTTTTTTTTCCTCTTTTCTTGAAGCATAATCCGAAAACAAGGGGAAACAAATTTGCTACACGTACAAAAGGTTGTTTGGCCAGTTCATGCTGAGTAAGAGATCGTTTTGATATTAACCAGTTCGTTTTAATTATAAAATCGTAAAATTTCTACTTAAGGAACTGATCCTTTTAAAACTGGCGTTAAAGAAATCGACGTTTAAAATAGTCTAATATATAAAATAAAATAAAATAAAATAAATGGTATTATTAGCTTTAAAGCCAATGTTTAAAAACAATTTATCTTCCAGAAACAGCCGCACGAACTCAATTACAGGCGAATGATACGTATATTTTCAGTAGCATTTTAGCAGTTGAAGCGTTATGAATTTTTAAATTTCATAATTTTTCAGCATATTATAACTCATTAAACGAATTTGGTGTTTTTATAAGAGTAGAAAAATCGGTAGTTGCTCTAAGAATTGACGTTATTTATCAGGAAAATGAGAGTTTCCTATAATCAGAATGTTTAAAAAAATAGCGTTGCGATCACGTTCTACGATCGGATTGACCATTCAAACTGATAATGACATGTAATTAGACGGGTCCTATATATTTATTATCGGTCGGGGTGCCGCTTCATGCCGAGAGTGTCAAGAATCCATTTCTAAAACATGATGTCAGAGCTAAAGTTCGTAGAAAGAATACAACGTCCAAGATATCAAGAACAATAGATAGGGAGTAGCTCGTCCATTCTAGTCACGTCCTTCTAGAGGCCACAGGGTACATTATAGCCAGAGGTAGTTCCGGATTCGACTCGGCCCGAGATCTAAATATTGTGAAACAGTTAAAAGACAATTTCCTACTTACCTGCCATTTTTTTATTTTACTCGGTGGGCCACCGGGGGATGGAAACGGAGGGACTAAAGGAAAAACTAAAGTTCGGAGGATAGTTATCGGATATAATGAAGTTAAAAATAATAATAGAGTGGTGTCGAACAGTCGGTTAGATCGAGTGATTTTTGACAGAAAACTATAATGACAGGTTGAGAACAATAGCGAGAATTACAGGTCACTTCGGGATCGGAGTATCGATTGCTCTTTAACTTCTTCCAATCAATGATTAGCACGTTTCCGATTATAAGAAGAAGAAAAAGAAAAAGAAAAAAGAAATTGGCCAAACGAAGCTGTTAGTCGAGTCATCGTTCCGTGCTGCGTTGGCGCGAGTAAATCACAACCCGGAGATTAGCCGTTCGATATTATCAATTTGTGCGCAATTAAATGCGGAAGAGGGTAGGTAATTCGTTGCCATCTGCGAGATGTGGTTTGCGGCATTCAAACAATCGTTTGTAGGCAGAGGCAGAATGAGCAGAATCTATTACTTTGTCAGCAAGCGTCAATTTGCATAAGGCACTTAAGCCGCATCCGACAAGTCGGAGCTAGTAATAAATGACGCGGGTGGGAGAAAAAAGCCGCTCGCAACTCTAATCCCCCTGTCAGCGGAGGGATCGCCGCAATAAATTAGCATGTAGGTAAACACTTCTCAGGAAATTAAATAGCCTATCTATAGGCCTTCCAAGATGGCGACCGCCGCTCGTGATAGCGACGCGTCCTTCTACACAGGATGGGTCCCATTGACAAACGAGGGCACAGCATGCAACTCCGACAGGGTTATCGGCGGCCATCCATCGCCGCTTTCATCCTATTGAGGAAGGCTGCGGCAGACAGTCGGATGCCCAAACACACGGCTATTATTTTTGCCAATTTCGCGATCGTGACCGGACCATCGTCTCAGTCCACTCGACTCTGTAACGGGCGCGCTGAGGTGAAAGCGAAACTAGGAAAGAACTCATCCCCGGGCTACCGAAGAGTTATTAATAAGAGCGAGAGGTGATGCCGAACAAAGAGAGATCGTTGAACCGAGCTAACGCACCCCTCGGCGCCCATTTGTGCCTCGGTTGCTGTAGAGAGAGAGTAGAGAGAAGAGGGGCGGCAGCTTACGTGCCACCCCCTCCATGCAAAAATTTTTAACAACTTGCAAAACTATAATTCTAAATGCAGGATACTCACCGTGCACCACCCAGCCGTGCCGACAAGTGTCGCAGATGCGTAATTGGCATTTACCGGGAGAGAAACAGTCGCAGGGACAGTTGGGCGAAGTACAGCGGATTGCCTGCAATGGAAAAAAAAGCCACAGATTAGAGTCTTCGCACCCGTACTGCGTTATATAAAAATACACACAAAAAAGAACGGAAAACAGTAACTAGGGCCCATCACCCACCTGCTACGCCCCTTACTTATTAACAGCAACAAAAAAGGAAGCGAATGCACCCCATCCGAAATCAAGAACAACGCGGAATCACGTATAGCCCGCGGGCACATTACTGGCAATTTTCGTGTCCCTACGAAAAACTCGCCCTTAAATAAGGGTCAGGCAGCAACCACTCCCATCTCGGTTTGAAAAAAAAAGATCTTTTTATATGTTCAATTTTTCGGATAGTTTACTTTTATTCAAACCGGTCCAAAGTTATCATGCAAATTTAGGTAGGTGTGCAGCAAAGTCACCGCATTTCCGGTCAGGATACGGAGTTCGGTAAATAACAAAGTGGTATATAATTATAATTTTAAATCACGAAGTCGGTTCGGGTGCCTTGGGGGAGACCAGGTGCGTATGGGGACTTTAGATTATATGGGGTGGAGTCTCATCCAACAATACGTAGGAAAAGGTGGGTGGAAACTGGCGTCAATAATACATGAAGTTTGAATGTCACATCGCTCCTAGTTCGTCCCCTCGGACTGGATATGCCAGCTGAGCCTGTAAAAAAATCCTAAAGCTTATTTTCTTCCTGCCGATGCTGTTTTTGAAAATATCATAGAAATATTAAGAAAGAAAAGTAAGGGGGAAAAAAGAGTAGATTTTATTAACTAATCGATCCGGTTTAAAATCGCTTACGGATGCCAGAAAACGGTTTAGAAAATGCGATTCGAAACGTTGAAAAATTACAAATTTCTTTCGAAAAATACCCAAAATTTTGATTAAAATATCGAGATTAAATTCTTTTTTTCTCTCTTCTTCTTTTTCCATTTCCATCTTCGACGTCTGTTCGAATCTGTCAAATTTTACTTTCCGAGTATCTATCGCTTCTACAGATTTATATCTATGAAAATCTAGAATGTAGGATATGTATTTTATGGAAAATAGATCCTGTACGAAATCGTGTCACGTTATATCAGCGTGTGCACCGTGAAGAATTTCGAGTATGTGAATTTAACATGGATAACCTTAAATTTTATTCTTTTAAGATAAGAGATTCTACCTATATATCATTATTATACAGTCAATCTGTTAACTTATATCAAAAAATAGTCAAAATAATCATTTTTTAGCTTTATAAATTACATTTAAAATCGTTTTTTCAACACTTTAAAGGCAGAAATTTGAGATTTAATAGGCAAATCTTCAAAAATACGAGCCTATTGCTAAATGTCAAAGGGTCATACGCCTAAATTGACCGTTCTTAAATTAAAATGTTAAAAAATTAGCTTCGATACGTAGGCCTATAATTTATATAGCAGGCCTGTATTGCATTTAATAGTTATTATACCCTCACACTAGGAGATTGAAGCGTAAGATCCGCATATTAAACCCTTTAGAATTTTAAAAAAGACCATTTAATAAATCATTATAAATTCAATAGACGGTGTGGCCTTTGTGATTATTCTCCTTTACGGCACTCACGCTGATTTATGATGAAGTTCTATTTGTCTCCCGAAACTTTTTCGTATTTCTTTTTAAGATAAATTATACTCAGGGCTTAACTTAATTTTTTTTCCCTCCATCTGACTTAATATTTTTATCAAAACGGATTAACAACTCGCTTTTAATCATTAATATCAGTCGATGCCTTTACAAAGAGTTGGACGCATTCAAATTTTAAATAACTTTAGGAAAAAAATGGTTGTGGTATTTAAAGAAAACGGCTTAATCTCGATAGAATTTATGCTTTTCTTCTTCATCAGCCTGGAGACATTTTATTATTATTATTATTAAAAAGTAACCCGCAAGAATGTGGTTTAACAGTTACTGATAGGCGATAATGGGCGGCGTGTTCATCCTCTATCGATAAACTGCCTGGCAAAGTATACAGATTATCGGATTAGATCTATTCAAATTATTAAAGAGTGGAGATTTCACGTGTTTAAAAATGAATTAAAAATGACAAATGCATAAAACTATCGCCGATAAAACATTTTAAGAAGCAGGAGGGAAGATACAGCTTTTCGAAAATTCTCGGACGAGATCGGAGATGCGAATGTGGTTTATGCAAATCTCTTACGGCACGCGATGTGACGTGACTCTAAGGATGTATTCTGTATAAGGGGGCAGGACGCGTGTAACTGACTCCGCCGTCCTTCCTTTTTTTTCTTTTTTTTAAAAAAAATAATAATAATTTATCAGATAACAATAATTCGATAAGTGGAAATCATTAAGACGGTGGGAAAATGCGGATCGAGAGCATCTTCCACAATTAATACTTTTATTGGTATGGTCTAGTCCGGTCCATTTTTCGCCTAGTGCCTCATCCATCATCGGGTCGCGACCCCTCCAGCATAACAGGTCCCTTTATTGACTGTTGTGACGCCGGCCGTGTCACTACTTATAATGACAAGAAAACCGATAATCCGCTTCCAACACAGAATTTGTGGCGCTTGATACTTTTATCTGCATCGGATAAATGCAGGTCTTTCCCTTCTTTTATCATTCCACCAACATAACCTTCGAATGTAAATTATGTCCCGGGAGAAGGTTACGGGACGTTGTATAAAGATTCCTTTGTGTCCTTTCGGCTCCAAAGACATTCGAGTTTATGTCAAGGAGGCAGTCGTAAGTGATTATAGACATATAAAATAACAATATTTACCACATAAATCATGATATTCGAGCGAGTGTTTCCATACTAAATAAGCGAGAGACGTGGCGAAAGGGTGTGGCGCAAACCAGATGGTTTGCAGGATCGTGACTGAAGAAACCCTGGACGACGTGACGTCACCCTTATCATCACCTGGATCCTTGCAAAATGGCAAAAGCCGAACAGAATAACAACCAAAGCGTGTTTTATAGCTCACTCCCAGAATGTATTTTTAAGTAACACTCAAGTACAAACAGCGTACACGGCAAAGATGCGGTGAGTACAATTTTCGAAACGCGTAGACGATTAAAAACATAAACAAAAAACAAATGTCTTAACAGTTCAAATTAGCTTATGTTTAAGAGAAGTGGATTTCTCGAGTCGGACGTGAGAATTTTAATATTAAGAACGTGACATTGAAGATAAAAAAGGCCAAACCAGTTTGTTTTTGTAGCTGGCAAGGACGTGAAGTGATAACAATGGTTCCTAGAAAGCCGTATGTCACACAAAATAGATATCGTGATACATTACTTTAAATGTGACATCAGCTTTTACCGAGAAAGTATCAGACGCCAAAACGTCACTTAGACTAATTACAATTGGCGACTGGGTGGCTACTTAAACGCCAACGCCTAAATTAACGCAATCCCCGATAAGGTAGAAAAATATAAATTTCAATTTATAAACAAATTTCCAATCTACAAACGAATTTCCACCGAACACAAATGTAACAGGAGGCAGAAAAAACGCTCAGCGTTTTAAAAGAACAGGCAAAGGTAGATAGGATCACACACACACTACCCCTATCCTGTCCCCAAGTTTATAGCCGAACGAGAACAGGTTTGAGTTCACAATAAACCGACCTCCCCCACCTGCTCTTCAACATGAGACGACTTACAATGATTCGCCCTGCTACAATGTGTTGGGTGTGTCACACAAACTTCCTGGTCCCCCGACTATTTAAAAAATTCTTCGGCATGCCTTTTTTTATTTTTCTCGTTCCTAATTTTATTTTATTTTTTAAAATTATATGTAAAACAAGTTGTATATACTTACCACGTCCATGACAAGCGACGTTCGATGCATGGCTCCATCGATGGGATGATTTTCGGTTGTCATCAAAGCACAATCGGCCGCTACTCGAGCACAAACACCACACTCCGACGTCGAACGTTCTGTCCGACTCGCTCCAAACACCAAGTCCCCTGACAACATAAGGATAGACAATACAATGACATAACTAGACGTGATGTGTGATTTTGGAGCTCCCGCCACACTTTACGGCACAGTCATCTGTCTAGTTGGCAGCCCCGTAACGCTACAACAGCGCCCCCCCGACGAGGCCGTTCTGTGGCGATAGAGGGCGACGATTGGCAGAATCCGCTTGTCGCAGTGTTGTGTCGGTGTCTCGTGTCGTCAACCCGAAAACCGGCGAACCAATGGCGTGAACCGTAACTCCGCCTCCACGTCTGTCAACTATTGTTACGTAACTTACGTACAGGTAGAAAACGACACCGACGTTACTCGTTACAAACGCAAAACTTTATTGTAAGAGCTAACACCTGCCGAGTTTAAGTTGACAATAAAGCGTAACTCTATTCTTCCAATCTATACAAATTAATGTCTGATTAAACCGTATTTTTTTATTTTTTAAATTCTAATTTTAAAATAAAAATTTTTCTAATAAAGATAAAAAAAATTTGCTATTTTTATTTAAATTTTTATACAGAAATTAATCATTTATAACGTAATAAAATGGTTACTTTTTTTAACAGGAAGTTATTAAAGTAGCGGGAATTTTAATACGATCGTGCATAACACGCACCTAAGATATGAAAGTTCTATGTAAAGTCGCGTAAATTGATTGGAAGGGAGGATTTATAAGAGTAGATTTCGGCCCGAATAAACTTTTTACGGAGAGATTTAACAGTTCCGTGTCAATTGTAAACGTCTACAGCCGAAATATAGTAACCAAAAATAGCTTTTATTTTAGTTAAAGTAATCGTTTAGAATGTCGAATTTTCAATAATAAATAAAAGATTATAACAAAATGGTTCCTGAATAAAATTGTAAAATATTTTCATCAATTAACCGTAACTCTATATGAATTTAATAAGTTATAAATTAAAATTTTAACCTATAAAATTATATAAATAAATTTTAAAGAATTTCTAAAGAGGTCATTGGATTAGTTTATATAAAAATTCCACTCAACCTGTTTATATTCTTTGGCTTTTAAACGATTAGGCCTATTGTAAAATCAAAGCATGTAGGTGTCAAAATTTATTACCCTTTTTTTATTTTTTATTTTTTATTTAAAAAAAAAGTTGCTAGAATATAATTTTAGTGATTTATTTTTAAAAATATCTCTCCATTAAAATTGCATTAGAAGCGTGTGGAAAATCATAAGAAGAGCCGTTTACGCGCGGTAAATTAGTAAAAAAGTTTTAGTTTTTAGCGCGTAATTAATACTCGAATTTAATAGAATAATTAAACTGTAGATAAATAAACGATTTTAAAACGGAACGAAGTCGGAGAATTGTGTTTTATGTATTCGTTGGCCGTCACTCTATACAAACACAACTCGTTCTTGACATCTTCCGATTGACATAGGGGACTGTTTATTGACTGGAGGGATAGACCCCTCGACTAAGGTCGTGCTCCGTTAGTCAATGAAAGTTCAGATCTGTAATTAACGGACTGTTTGTTCGTATCAGACCGATATTTCCGAACCCCAAGCTGTTCCCTCCTTCGTCTATCTTGTGACATCTGCTGCCGAATATAAGCCCAGTTTTGCTACCGTTTCCATTCGTTCGTACAATGCGATGTGATTACAATGATTTGGGAAATATGATAATAACCTGGGAGTCTATTATACCATAAATGACTTGTGTCGTGTACGAAGCTCGATACGTACAAACGTCCGAATGTATTGGATAATGTCGTGACGGAAATGATCTTCTTCCTCAGTAAATACTTCTAAATGTACAAAACGGGTCACGTTATACGCAAACAGATCGGTTAAAGTCCAAAAATATGAATTAACTTATTATAAAAGATCGATCCCTAAGATGAGGAAGAGCATTCTGTGCACGAAGTTGTGTTTAGACGTTTTAACGGGTTATCTATATAATTATAATTTCTATCTATATAACCGATCCCTCGTTCATAAATACTTTACAATCGGATTTATTAATAAAACAATTATAAAGCTCCGGGTTTAATATTAACCACCTTATCGGATTATAACCCGCAGCAAAGCCTGAATTTTTTATAGTTAAAATTTAACTGTCTAATGTTCATAAAAGCATTTATTTTATTATTTTTTAAAATCGATTTTAATATAAATTTATAATTTAAAAAAATAATAATTTTTTATGAAATTTTCCGAATTTTAAGACGAACTTTAATATTATCCATTCGACTAACTTATTTTAAGAAATCGCAAACTTTAATACGATGGAAGCGAAACTAGTCGAGGGGATTAACACATATTTAAAAAGTTTTCAGTTGCAAAGTTGCACGGCGAGTTAAGCCGAAATTTCTTTGTGCAATTTCCAAATTTTTTCCATCATAATTTATTTTTTGGAGGCTAAACCGGCTTTTCTCTTCTTACGGAGAAACTAGGGACGAGTAAAATCACCCGAATTTTTCATCTGCCGAATGAGACTCGAGAGGTTTTTTTTATATTTATGACTTATGCTATTATCGATTCATATTTTAGGGAAAAAAGAAAAAAAAAAAGGTTCGACTGAGAGAGAGAGAGAGAGAAAAAAAAAGGGGCGAAAATTCTGTATCGAGACTAGTTATTTAAAACAGCTGATGCGAAGAGAGAGAGAGAGAGAGAGAGAACAAAGATGTCTCTTTTGGTCTTTAACTTTTTCTACCTTGACAAGAAAATAATTATTTACACGTTAATTATCGTTGTTTGCAGTTGTAATTACTTATCCAGCTTTAGTTTAGTCGTAAGAACAGAAAATCTACCGCGTTAATTCAAGGTCAGTTGACACAAATCATTACTATACTTTCTCATTTTTCTTGTTTATTATTATTATTTTTTTTAATAATAATAAAAAGAGAGGAAAGGTCAACGGGTCGTGCATCTAATTTATCGATTTGCTAATGACGTTCGTAACGATCAATGAGAGAATCTTTTGCTTTAATCTCGGACAAGTTAGGCCTTATCTGGAAGGCTAAAGTCAGATCAATTGTAGCGCTCGGCTCAAAACCTTCTGCTTTATTCATCTGTTTGTCGATTGGTAAGTTGTTTCTGCCTTAAAAAATAAAAAAAAAAACGCTTTTATGGGATTCCAGATATGAAGAAGTCATTTGTAAGAGAGAGGTACAATTTTGCTACAAAGTTTCCATGCTGTGTTATAAGTATAGAGAGACTCGTAAGGATAAATGGTAAAAAATGATAATTTAAAGAGCCAAAAATAGCGGAAAATTAAGAAATTAATCGTAGTAAAAAATCAGTAGAAGTGGCGTTATCGGTCTGTAGATGATGTTTTAACTTAAAACGGGAATTTAAATAGAAAAAAAGGAGTAGAAATTTAGAAAAAGTCGGCTAGAAATGTAGGGAAATTAAGAAGAATAGGATTAATAGAGATATTTAAACATAATAATAGAGTTAGAAAAAAAGGAATGTTTTGTAATTCTATGGCAAAAAGTAGAATATATTCCTATAAAAGTAAACAGAATCGGCAAGAAAAATAAGAATTTGTAGGAAAAACAAAATACTATTTTTAGGAAATGAATCAGTAAAAACAAACAGAATCTGTATGAAATCATTGGAGTAAAAATAATCATTAAAATAGTAAAAAGAACGAATCGAAAATTTAAAAGGTAAACAATTGCTAAGTATCCGAAGTTATGTTAATAAATCAGTATTTTATGCATAATTGAGTTAATAACACATGCAAATTTAAGATTTTATTTATCATTGATTACATTCTATTGTATCAAAAAATATGTATATAATTTTGTCGTGTTTTTAATGTATTGATATCACATTTAGTTGCAAGGCCGTGAACACGGGAATATTTTAGGGAATTTAACACTTACATTTGAGAAAATACTAAAAAATTAAGTAAAATAATAATTTATATTTATTCTGTACTCGTTTTGTTCCTCTATATCATAAAACCCTATTATATACCCTATCGTATTACAATATAAGGTATAAGTTTACATATATAATTATACTGTGCCATCTACCCTATTAAAACGCTATTATACTAAGGTGTAAGGTTACGTGTATAATATCTTACACTGTATTATATACCCTATTGTATTAAGGTGTAAGGTATATATATTCATAAATATTCTACCCTATATAATCTATTAAAACCCTATTATACTAAGGTATAAGGTTACGTGTACCTTACGTGTAATACCTTATACTGTTTTACATACTCTATTAAAACCCGTTATATACCCTAAACTAATTAAGGAAAACAACGAGTATTTTCAAAATCCTATCCCCTTGAAAATCCGCAGACGGTCCCGTTCGGTTCGATATTATACGAATTTAATTATCAGAAACCGCAGTACTTTTTTTTAATAATTAATTTAAACATACAAAAAATTAATTTATCGCTCAATTAGAGTAAATATATAAGTATAAACGATAAAGAAAGGCACGAGGCGCGGTTAATGGAGAAAAAACGAGAGTAGAATCGGCATGAAGAAGGAGTTAAAAAGATCTGTTGATGGCCAGGCCATTGCAGATGACCGTTTCTTTCCGAGTTGTTCGCAGGAAAAACTATTTTAACAAAAGTATTGCTAATGTGTGAACATTTCTATAGATGTTGGCGGCGGGAACACAACATTCGTTGCAAACACTCCATGTTTTTTTCCGGGAAGTAGAAGGGAAAAAGGGGAAGAAGAAGGGAAAAAAATACATGTTTCTGATAAATCGGGAGGATTCGGATCAAAAGAGGCAACCGAATTGCGCTATGAAGGGATGGAAAAAAAGCGACACCTCGTGGTAGTGACTGAATGCGAGTACAGCCACAGGCAGATAGAACAACATGTGCTTACATTCTCAGAGATCTGCGTTCTGTACTTTGATCCCGAGTCACGCAACTGCAGATTCTGTCGTTTTTTTCGTCCCCCCTTCGACCAAATGTCGATGGATGCTTTATTTCCATGGGAATGACGCATGCTCAAACACTTCTGGCTACCGGTAGTTCCAAAAAGCGAGCGTTATGATCAGAGCCTGTGTAATCGATGTATCCAGACGAACTACTGCCTTGATTTATAACATGAGATTTGGTCAGTGGCAAGGATGGTACGTTC